CAGCGATGCCCTGCGCCGATGACGGTCCGGCGGGTCGCTGCCATCCCCAGAGGCCATAGTGGAGAGAGGTGATCAGCTTTACCCTGCCAAGGAAAAATCAAGGGTGAGGGGGTGAACGGGGTGGGACGCTGAAGTGGACTGCTCAGAGAAGGGCTCTGGGGAGCAGCAAGTGGCGCAGTGATGCCAGAGGAGACAACTGGAGACTCAAGTCTGTTCTTTGGCCTGGGATCCTTATACACCGTCTGGGACAGTCCTAGGCTTGAAGATCATTTTTCTCTGCTTCACCTCTCCTCTAAGCACTTTGCCTCCTGCCTTCCTTTATCTCTGCACATCTGACAGCCTCCTGGCTCCTCGCCTCCCTGCAATCCCATTCTCCAGTCCCTGCCCATACCAAGGTGTTTTTTCTCTCCGCTTCCTCCAACACAAGCTTGGGCTCCTCCTCCATCTGCAGAACCACTCCCATAGGTCTGGCAGCTCTTCCTCCCTGGCATTAGAATCACAGAATCATAAAATACTAGATCAGGAAGCTGAAGCAAAATGCAGGACAATGTAGCACTTTAAAGACTTTAAAGTGCTACATTGTCCTGCATTTTGCTTCAGCTTCCTTGTAGAATGAGTTTTACCAATGTTGGAAAAACTCCTGCGTTCTTTTGATTTTCTTTCGAAAAGGAAGGAACCTGGAGAGGGCATCAGTGCTCTCACGACAGGACCAAGCACCATCTAGATCATGGGTTCCTAAACTGGGGGGCGTGTGAAAAAATTCCAGGAGGGGTGTGATGCGACCCAACCTCACACCCTCCCCCCCCGCCCTGGAATTTCTTCATGCCCCCCAGTTTAGGAACCCATGATCCACACCCAAAGTTTACAGCTAGTGCAAATCTCTACCCCCAGTGCTTAGCATGAATATAGCTCTTCATCACTGCTATGTGACCCTGGCTACCAGGCAGGTATTCATTCAGCTTTTGCAGCTGGGGAAACTAAGGCACAGAGCAGGCTTGACTGAAGTTGCACGGTGAATCGATTTCAGGACCAGGCTAGTTCCTAGACCTTTGCTCAGGGCACTAGTACAGGGGTTCCCAGACTGTGGTCCACATGATGGCGTGTGAGCCTCTTGGAAGTGATACACTGTTCCAGAGTTGGAAGCAATACTGGGATGGGGGAGCCACCTACCCCCGTTCCATGACAGGCAAGATATTCAGGGCAGACATGGACTAACTGAAAAAGCAGAGCGGGGGAGGGCAAGGGGGGAGAAACAGTTGCTGATCTACCTCCTTAACCTGATAAAGCCAAGCTGTTAGGTGGCTGCCGGAGGAGAGAGGGAGGTGGCCTGCAGAGGAGAATTACAGGGGAGCATCAAGTCAGGTGAATGGCTCCCTGGGAACCAGACTGGGGTCACCTGCCTGAGTCGCAGCTCCCCCAAGGAGGCAAGCTAGGAATTCCTTAACTACAAGGGCAAAGCGTTGTAAGTCCACTGGATCTCAAGCTGCCGGGTGCTCCCCACTTCCCAAGACTCCCCCACCTCCCGAGCCGCCCTCTGAGCCTCCCCTGCACTTTTACTTACATGCATCCTGCCACCAGCCAGCCTAACCTTGTCAGACCTGAGCAGGAAGGGTTTTTCCATCTTTCAAGGAGTTCAAAACTTTCCCCCGGGAGAAACTGAATGTGTTTGTGTGCGCACATGCATACACACACACACACACAACTTGCCCACCCTAAACCAGCCAATAGCACAGTGGTTAGGGCACTCACTGGGCCATGGGCAATCCTAGTGCAAGTCTGTGATCCTACCCACCCACCGTTTTATCAGAAATTCCTCCCTAGCCCTAACAATTTGTATGCAGCTACGAGTCTTGTTTCAGCAAAACTTCCTAAGCTTCTCTAAACCTCATGTCCTTTAGCCCTCCCAAGCAAACACCCTGCTCTTCTAATGCCCCAGGCATCTCTCCACCAGCCACTTGATAATTGGTTATTTCTGTCTGGTATTGGCTGGCCAGGTTCTATTGAATTACTTACTTGGTGCCCTGACAGTGATTGGATAAGTATGCACAGCCCCATTTAGACAAAAGTGAGTTTAGGGCTATGGCCCTGTTTCACAGGCCTCACAGAATATTGTCTCCAGATATCCAGACAATCCATCATTTACCTCAATGGTGCCAATGGTGGAGAGGGGGTAGCTAAGGGAATGCAAATCTTACTTATCCACCTGGTTTAGGAAACTGCTGGAGTGCTGATTTGCATCTCAATGCTCAGAAGACAATGCCAGCTGACACCCAGCCTGCAGGCTTGGACTGTGCCTGCAGGGTGGCTGATGGTCTTTCCAAATACAGCCCATCCCCTCTTCCTCCACCCCCAACCTCACATGTGCCCAGCCAGGATGGCTGACTTGTGACCCATAGATTCCTCTTGCAGAGGGCTAGGGAGAAGGAAAAGGCTGTGCATGGGTTGAGAGGATTAAAGTGGGGGGGGGAGGTGGTTCAGAGTACAGCATGGAAGGAGGGCTTGGCCCCCTCCCCCATGAGGGCTAGTCTCCCTAACCCTCTGAGACCTAGCTGCAATCCCCAGTGACACAGGCACAGGGTGCAGAAGCAGGTTGTGCCCATCTTCTGGATGAGGGAAACCCTCAGTGCTCCAGGCAATGCACCAAAGGTTTATAAGGTGCTTTTATAGTGATTTTTCATATGAAGGGCTCAGAGCGTTTCCTGAGGGTATGTAAAAATCCTCACCCCCCTTTTTATAGATGGAGAAACAGAGGTACACAGGGAAAAGTGATGTGCCCAA